ACCACTTATCAGCAAAACTCCCCGGTTTGAACATTCGTCTGGTTGATAATTCCCTGCTCTAGCGCAGGATCCCCTGGAACAGAGAAGCGGCCCTGTCCGTGGTGCTCGGTCACACCACCACCCCACCAGGGAGACTGCCACGCTTGCGACAGCTCTGGAGCACCTGGCCACAAAACACCAAGCAAGACCAAAAGGGTTAGAAAACAAACTGAAAACGAAACAGCAATTTAACAAAAAGCTGAAACAAAGGACTCGCACTGTTGCCAGCAAAGACATATTAAGATAACAGGGCTTTCACCTCAGTCTTCAAAGTCACCTTCAAAACTGAGTCTTGTTGAAAACCTTAAGTAGGGTTTTGTTCCAGGAGGAAAGCGTACAGCAACTGAGTTAATGTAGGCCTCTTCCAAAGCAATGTTTAATACTCAGTATCATTCTTTGATGCACAGTGGGCTACACAGAACCTCCAGTGACAAAGCGTCTCTTTCCTACACAAGGGCTATCAATCGCTGCCCCGTGACGGAGCATTGCACACCTTAAGGGCTGTTAACCTGAGGAGCTACCCTGTTCCAGCAGCATTGCTTCAGGTTGAATGGCTTTCAAAAGAAGCAAAGAGCAAACACCTTGCTGACCTATGTTACACAAAGCCACGATGCTGTTTGCAGATTTGCCCTACTGCATAAAGGGAGCACATTCATGGTCAGAGGCTTCCTGTCCCCTCCTTCAGGGAAATATTTCTGCTCATTTCCTTTTACACCTGAAAATTAATGTATCTTATCCATCATGTGGATTTTTACTACCCTTGAGCAATCTGAAAGCAAAGTACACATAGCAATGCCATGCACTAGCTTGTACACTACACTAGTCCTGTCACAAAGTTTGTCAATTTCTATTAACCGCACAAAAACTACATGAAACACATGTCCTGTTCCAAACAAAAATCATGGGAAAGTCCAAAAAGTGTACTGGAAGAACTAACTCCTACTGGAATAGGAAGAAAATTATACCAGTCTAGTTGCATCTTACTCAGTTACAGTCAAGGCATGTATGCCACATTCTGTTGTTGCGTCCTCTACAGGGCACAGCAGAATAGAAGACTTTGTCTCTTTCAGGAGGTGTTCTGCCTCTTAAAGTAAGTTTAATTTGGGAATTAAACACCAGTGGCTTCTCAGATGTGAACTGATGACAGAAGTGAGTAACTATTTTCAGAAAGTCTAACCCACACCTTCCCAGAGCGTCTTTTATATCCAACGATGTAGAACTGGCTAATACAAGAACTTACTGGTGTCTTGCCTTGCTGTGTGAAGCCCCTATGTTACAGGCTGACAGCAGAAGCTGTGGAAACTACTAGGTGAATATAACCTGAAATCCTATCTGCACTTAGCACCATAACACTTGAATCTTTTTATGTCAAGATGAACTGCTTATGACCTAAATGTCTTGGAGAGGTACAAAGGCAACAAGCAGGTGAGCATTATTTGAAGAGATTAGAGATCTCTTGCAGCCCACATTTCACTCACATCCCTTGCACTGGGTTATTCTCATATCATGATAAAGTGTAATAACTTAAATTGCATACCGAGGAGTCTGAATGCTGTTCCAAAAAACGTCTTTATAGACCATCTTGTCCATCCAGACTGTTTGCCCCATTATGTGGGAGAACCCTTGAGACTGGGAACAAGAAAATATTTGCTCTCCAACCAAATGACAGCTGTGACAAAAAAGACACTTAAGTTAGAGAAGGCTTCCTGTATACATCTTAACTGTAGTTCCTCCAGCTGAGCAAGGGAATAACACTGCAAGATTATGACAGCTGTTCTCACCTATAGGATGGGCTACAAATGACTTGTTTCTCAGAGAGGAAAAAAAAACCAAACCACTTTTATTCAGAAAATAATTTCATATTAGCTTCCAAAAAGGACGTGTCTACATACTAGGCCACAAACTAAAGCTAATCTTATATTAGTGATAAAACTTAGCCTAATAGCATATTGCATTGTTTTGAAAATTAGACCATTAGGAAGAAAATACATAAAGGCATCATAGCACTTTCATTAGACACTATGAGCTGGGCAAGCATTCATGGAAAAATATAAAATGATTTAGCTGGATTTTCCACCCAGTTAATCAGTCTTGAAGCGAATGGAATCATTGTATAATTAAGCAGATTTCTCTAAAGAGCTCGTAACAGCTCACACAGCTTTAATAACCTGCCTATGTGTCAGAGAAGCTGAAGAAAAGAAAAACTATCAAGACTGAAGGAAACTAAGAAACACATTCTGAGTATCAAGCAGTTTAAGAAATATGAAAATTGATAGCAATATTTAACATTACAGTGGTGACAAAGTTAATCACTCGCATTTTGCAGCATCAAAGTATTGTATCTTATTATTAAGCAGCTTGATCACGTTTTCATCGCAGTTTTGAAGTAAAAAAAGTATCTGAGCACGTGGTATGCATAAGAATTACTGCTCTCATGCAACATATTATAGCCATACTAATATACTATAAAAATACTAGTAACTTGTTTCATTTAGAAGTACCTTTTTTAACTAAATACAGTAAGTACAGAATCCTGTGTTCAGCAAGAAAAAAGCTAAAGAAATACTTACTGCCTGAGAAACTGCAGAAGACTAATATGCTTATTACACATTTTATTGTTTGGCTAGATCTTTAGTAACACATATACCTTCAAAAGTGGAAGCTTACCACTGTAAAAGAAACATAAGTTATTGCAGTTATATGTATCATGCTGTACTAAACATTATTATAGAAGGATTAATCATTTAGTTATTGAAAGAGACTACAGACACAAATCCAACTGCTAATTAAGGACAACAGTGACATCTAGTGGACACTGGGAAACGGGACCCAAAGCCTAAGAAGTAAAAGATCCAGCTGCTGCTGCATAACTCCCAAATTGCTACAATGCAAATAAGATGATTAAAAGACAGAATTTGCAGCTGATGAAAGTCAAAGTAATGTGATGATTCATTTCTTTCAAAAGAATATTTAATTTAAGAAAAAAAAAAGAGAAAGAGGCAAGACCCTTCCATTTCAGGTTCAGGATAAAAGTATAGGTCAAAACTTGAGAGGACGTCACAAATCATTGAAAAGCCATAAAAGCACCAACATAAGAGGCATACATGTGTATTACACTTTCTATTCCCATTGCATCTGCAACCTTCTAAGCTGCTCTTGTTGAGACTTCAAACACTGAATAACAAGTGAAAACAGTAAAAATGTGAAAAGCAAAAATTCCAACCGCTATTTAGCGCCTCTCTTTTCTCACCACTCTGATCCTTCTGTTACTGTAATACCTGCCATATAAGGGAGGTAAGTTAAACCTTCCCAATATACCAGCCAGGAGCTGCTGAGCTCCAGAGAAGAGGAATCTGAAATATGAGGCTACTGTAACTCAAAATCAGCAAAGATATCTGCTCATAAGCAATCTGATTAGTTTACAAGGTAGACTTCTACAAAGACCAGGGATTATTTTAAATGTGCTTTTAGGGTTTACAAAAAGGCTAGCAAAACTAAGCAGTTAAAGCAACCCAAATCTGATCTCAGTTGTTCCAAAGAAACAACTTCTGGCTAGAAGTATCACCATTAAAAAAATACTGGTTTTCACTATCACACTTTTTAAATAAAAAACAAAACTGACAAAACACTACACATCTATGTCACATTCAAAGTCTTAAGCATCGAATGTTATCTCTACAGAAACCAAATAGGATTTTGCACCATATTATTAAAAATAGAATCATAGAATGGTTAGGGTTGGAAGGGACCTCAAAGATCATCTAGTTCCAACTCCCCTGCCATGGGCAGAGAAACCCTCCACTACACCAGGTTGCCGAAAGCCTCATCCAACCTGGCCTCGAACACTTTCAGGGATGAGACATCTACAACTTCTCTGGGCAACCTGTTCCAGTGCCTCACCACCCTCTGAGTGAAAAATTTCTTCCTTAGATCTAATCTAAATCTTCCCTCTTTCAATTTAATAAAGCCATTTCCCCTTGTCCTGTCACTACATGCCCTTGTAAAAAGTCCCTTCCCAGCTTTCCTGTAGTAAATACTGCACCCCTTCTGAAACTGACATCTCAGCAACTATCCAATCTAAAAAAAAAAAAAAAAAAATCGCAAAAGATCGAAAACTATACTCAAAATGTCATTTATGAAGACGACTGTAATTTACATTAGATTTCCAATTTAAATTGTTATCTTGCTTGCTTTGTGTATGATTTTTGAAAAGTTTGTGTTGCAATTCCCCTAGCTCTCACCATCAGTAGTGGCTAGAGTCAGCCAATCGCACGCACATAACAGATTCTCACTTTTAGGAAGATTCTCTAACCAGTAGAACGCAAAGAAACCTTTGCATAACTGATGATCAGGCCTTGTGTCCTCCTTTCTTTCCTCCGAGGTCTCAAAGTGAGCTTTGAATCAGACGCTACCAGTTAAAAATTTGAGTTCATGCAGCCTTCCAGAAATGAAATCCAGACTCCGAAGATATTTATGCAGCATACACAGCCATAACTAAAACGTGTAGTTTTAAATTCTGATTCCTAGAGAGACTCAATAGCTGAGCAACCCATTCACGAAAACTTAAATCCATGTCTTTTTTCTTTCATTCTAAAAGTGCAAGTATTTAAAAGCTAGGTCTTCCTTTTGATGTATGCAATGCATAGAGTTTGTGGATATTTTAAGTGAGACCAAAGTTTCACCAATTCTCAACAGCCTTGTTCTGGAAAACCCCACTCTTTATTCATCACAGGATCTATATCAAGTCTGTTATAGCCATGTTAGTAATGGTGCCTGATAAAAACAGAAACCAGTCTAGTAAATGTACAAGACAAAAAACTAAAAGCAAACACCAAAATTAACTCAGTCATTTTGTCCTATCCAAGCACAATGTCATATTTTACGTCCAAAAACAATTTTACTACACCAGATGTCCTAACAAGAGAGGACTATTTTAAGACAAAGCAAAATCATTGACCTACCCGGATTTCCTGGAGATTATGAAAATTATTTCCTACTCTGACAGAGATTTTGCTTGGAGTATAACTTTCATCAGATTTGTAGTCTGCATAAATACATAACGTCTTCACTGTTGTTTTTCTTCTGCAAGAACCAACAAAGGCTATGTAAGCATCATAAAAAAAAATATTCAGGATGAGTTTGTTGCTAGTTTGTAATAACTAAGGATTTAAACGCTCTAAAACTTAACACAAGTGTGTCTACCCATTTGTAAGAACCGCACTGTTACAGCAACTTTCCACATTAAGTTATGCACAGAGTTGATTTTCAGTGTTGTCCTTTGCCTTCAGAAGTGCCAGTATATCAAGAAATACAACAAAAGGCCAAAATACCAAATAAGTACTTGTATGTGATGAAGTATATGTTTAGCTTATCAAACATGGGCTCTATAACTATACTAAAGAGTTTTCCAGAAAGCAAATAAAAAAGGTGACAAACATCTAGCCTCGTCTTAACAGTTTGGTTAAAGAAAAAGGACTGAAAGCATCCTACACAGAATAGAACAGGAAAAGGTTTCTCAAACAATCAGTTGTTAAGTCATACCGGACTACTTTTAAAACAGTCGTTTACCCTTCAAATTACACTCATAGACAGAAAGTCAGGACAAAAACATCACCTTAGGTAGGTAAATGTGAAACTGTTACAAATGACATACTATTAAACATTTCTTTTTGTTGCTTATTTAGGCATTTAGTAACCATAACATTTGAAAATCTCATTTTTATAAATGCTATCTAACTGGCTTCTTATCAGTCAGGTAACAAGATTAACCTAGGAGTTCCTGCACTTTAAAAATTCCTATCTGGGTGAACAGTAATCAATACAAAGTTATACACCAGTCAGGTAACAAGATTAACCTAGGTGGGTGAACAGTAATCAATACAAAGTTATACAAAACACCTTAACCTGTATAGAGTAATTTTTAATACCTAAATTGGATGTTCACCAAATGAGGCTGCGATCCATCTGACTGCCAGTAAGTTTCTAGATTATCATCTCGCAACTGATCCACTCCAAATCCTAAGGAAAAGAAAAAGTGATAGCCTTGAATATCTCATTTCCCTGATGCAGACATCACAGACATAACAGACATAACTTTTCTTCAGCTGTTACAAACTACAGTACATATCCTAAGTTGTAAGGTATAAGGAATTTTTTTCTAGATATCCAAGGTGTGCCTACGCTTTTGTGACACAAAACTGACACAGGGGAATCTGTCAATCAAAGCTCAGTACTGGAGTGTCCTGGCATTCTTATCTCCTATTGAAGTCTGTGGGGTTTGAAACCACTCAACATGTCCTGGAATTTCAAATGGTTAAGTGGTAATTCATACTAATTACAAGAACAATACTTAATGGTTAGGCTTTTCCACCTATTCTGTAACCTAACTGCTGAACTAAAGGAAAATTATTAGCCAAGACCATTCATTTATTATAAAATTTTAGCCAAATATAACATTTTCTTTCCAAGTATTGTCCTGAAATATTTTTACTTTTTCAAGTCAGTAGCTAGAACAAGTAGTAGATGGTGAAAACAGTATTCCTGAAACTTAATGCTGTCACATATAAAGAAAAAACCCCAAATCTTTATTCTCCTGTTGCTTCATTATCTGTCCTTTTACAAATCACATCCTTTTGTTGATTGCCCACACTAGCTGCACTTTTAATTCAGCCGCTGAAGTTTAATCTGCAATAAAAAATGATCTTCACTGTGAAGTGACTAAACCACTTGACACTTTTCTCTAAGGAAGATATCAGGATACCAGACCAAAGACGTTCAGCCTGAGAACAATATTGTGACATAAAGGGATCACAGACTAGGTTGCAGCAAGATACCAGACCAATTCTCAACAGATATTTCTGCAATCGCAACTCAATCGCCTCAAATGAAAAGAACACAGATTTTTAGCTATTTTTTAAGCAGGTATAAGCTATCATTAACTGCACCTCAAGACCACTTAGGACAGTTTCATTCTACTTGCAGGATTTTAGGGAGTTACACTGTAACAGTCGAGTCCACACAACGTTTAAGCCGCCCAGATGCATGGTTCTTCCAAGTTAAATATCGAAGATACTCAGGCAAAATGACAAAAGCAAAGAAACGATTACACAATGCTGGGTGTGTTTCTACTTACATGGTTTAGCTTGTTCGCTGTGCAAGTGAAAAAAACAACTCAGTATAAAATCAGTAAAAGATCTGTTTTGTTAAGAGATATTTCCTCATTGTGGGATTTCTGACATAGTTTCAACTTTCATAGTGCATCAAATATAGACTAGGCCAAAGTTATTTGTAGTGGCTACCCACACACTACAGCAGTTTTACTGCTGCACTCTGTATTTATGTCTTCTTATCAAAACATAAAACATTACCTATTCTAAGAAGAAAAATGTACATTCAGTTTTTTTACACTTTTTTTTGTGATTTTACCTGGCTTACAGGATGAAAGAGACCAAACTGCTTGTGAGCCTATTTCTCTAACAGTACCAGTCCTCTCTAACTGCTTTGGATCAGCACCAGGTGGTGTCTTGTTCGGGGTAGTCATTTCTAGTAAAAGAAAACAAATAAGTTAGTTGATACATTTTCAGCTTGATGGGAAATTACAGGGTTGAGTTTGTTCATATAGACACTTTAATTCTTTGGCTTCACGCTTACATGACGCACTACAGAATATGTGGTTTACACACACAGAATCATAGAATGGTTTGGGTCAGAAGGGACCTTAAAAATCATCTAGTTCCAAACTCCCTGCCACAAGCAGGGACACCTTCCACTAGACCAGGTTGCTCAAAGCCTCATTCAGCCTGACCCTGAACACCTCCAGGGATGGGGCAGCCACAACTCTGGGCAACCTGTTCCAGTGTTTCATCACCCTCAGAGTAAAGAATTTCTTCCTTAGATCTAGTCTAAATTTGGATTTGGTTTTAAGAAATTAAAACAGACCCTGTTGATTTAAAGGCTAGCAATACAACTTCATTTCCCCCCACATACACATAAGAGTTTTCTTAGTCTGCAAGTTCAGAAGCCTATTCAGAAGATAGAGCAAGCCTGTACTCCTTAAAAAGAGAAAATGAGAGTTTAAACAAATCGTATAGTCCTTAATTTGGCAGGGATTGGTCATTGCCACATTTGTCCATGGTCCCTTTCCTTAGCTGCACAACTTCATCCGAATCATTAACCTGTGACTTGCACTGCTCAAGTAATCACACTCAGTCTCAATGCCTAGACTACTGCTGTATATACTACACCATAATCATGCTGGTTTTCATTTAATACACCTTTAGAAAGTAGCTTAAAAGACCTTTTTTTAAAAAAAAAAAAATCCCCCAAAAATTAAGTTCCATGAAGGAACTACATTAAAGCTTAAAAATTCAACGTAAGTCACTCAAGTCAGGGAATTAGAGTGACTTCTAAACCTTTGCTTACATCCATGACATCATATTATGCTCTGCTCAATCTCAGAAGTAGTCTTGCAGTACCTCTCCTAGATAGCAAATGAGGTACTGAACTCAGCTGGTATCCTCAGGATCCAGACTTTACCCGCTACAGAAGTGATAAAAGGCAGAGACAAGATTTTCTATGTAAGAATAACTCTGCAGCTCAAAACTCTTGGTCAGACACAGGAAATCTGAGTCCTGTAGTGTAAATCGCTGTCTACACCAAACATTTTCTATTGGCCCTTGCATAAATTTTTTTTCCCATTTTGCAAACACAGGCTTGAGACAGACTTCCAGGTTTTTTTGCTGCTTTCTCATACACAAGACTGCAGTCCTGACTACCATAAAATAGAAATAATTACATGTGTAGTAAAATCTAAGCACAACAGCAAGCATCACAAAAGGCCACAAACAGCCTTGCTCAAATACCATCCTCTCAGACAAGTGGGTTGAACCCTACACAGCTAATCCTATAGATATCACATATATATTCATATAATTCACAGATATACTAATCCTATTGCCCTCCAATTAAAAAATCCTCATGCAACAATATGTTTTAAAGTCTTTGCCTGTGCAAAAAAGTTTTGTTCAAAAAAAAATCAAACTATTAAAAAAATGCCACAGGCAATCCATGTAGACATTCCTATCACTAGACACTAGCACATGAATCTTCCCTACTCACTGTATTTATCTGTTTTTAAACTTTTATCAGGTATTTACAACAGGCTCTTTAAAATGAAGCTGTTCTCTACTGAATTGGCTACACCATAAACCTGTTAATATGCAGAACAGACTTTAGACTAGAATAGAAAATAAGTAACTGACTCTAGTTGCTACTTAATACTACTTTAATTTTATTCATAGCAACTTCAATAAAACACAATGTCACAAGTAGTCTAATCTTCTAAAGAATTTAAAAGAGTCTTGGAAAAAAAAAAATACAAAACAGTTCACAACTACTAGAAAAATAAGCATTTCTTACAGATTCACAGAATGGTTTGACTTGGAAGGAACCTTTAAAGATGATCTAGTGCAACCTCCATCCAACAATAAAATTTAAATTATGTTTATTAAGCATTGGGGAGACTATTTTCCTGAACTCATGAATTTTAAAGTTCAAATCATCTAGTCCGAACTCTGCACTATTTTGTTGCTTTTCTGACAATGAACCAACTAAGACAGGTTGAGTTCCATTCATTTCAATTCTCAGATTCATACAGAAACCAGCAATGGTGCTCTCCCCAGCTGTAAAAATAAAGCTAAATTGTTCATTAGATATAAAACACCTCTTGAATATCATCACCAGCAAGTCTTCATATTCCTTTATTATTTTTGACTTCAAGAGAAAAATATCAAATTCCAAATCTGATAGCCACATTTTCATCAATCCGACAACAGCTATTTCCTAGGAAAGAAAAGCCCAACCTTAAGACACAAGGAGTATGCAAAGATGCCATCAAGACCCAGTAAAATAAAGTAAATCACAGAAATTACACTGTACACTCAGATTATCACAGCAAGTTGATTCCACACACCTTTTAGAAAAATGACTAGAATTTTAAAGTATGTAGAATCCCTTAAGACAATGACATTAAGATTTCTTAGAAGCTTCAGTACACACAATGAAGGCCGAAATAAGTTAACACTGCCAAGATTTCCATTGCACTGGCTCACAAAAGTTTGAGGCATATATTTTGAGGGTCTGAAATACACATCAAGAAACATCATCCAAGTTTCCTACTGTCTCAAACTGATCTTGTTTCCTTCTCCCTAACAGGCAAAGCTACTCAAGATCCAGATTTCAACTCCAAACCACTGCTGGCAAGTAAGTCAGTCACAAATTGTGCATTAGTGATGTGAAAATCTTTAATGTTTGAACTAATGGGCTGAACTAATCAAGCCAGTTTTTCATGACAGAAGGTCTTTTTAGCCAGCTTCGTAACAATACATTCTGGATAGCTTTGCTGAAGTTTCCCAATATTGCAAGAATTTTAAAAGCAGAAAGCTGGTAGAAGTACTAAGGAAAAATAATACAGCAACAGGACAGCTCACTCAAGTAACACTTTTGGACATTGTACTAGCAGAAGTACAAGTACCTCAGCTTGGACAAAATACAAATACCTAACGTTAGATGTATTTAAGTCACCAAATAATAATTAAAACAAATAGTCAAAGGAGATAAGAAAATGAGAAATTTTTTTCTGATTTTTTTTTAGGCTGCATGAAAACAAATAATCTCTCTAGAAGCCCTTCTTGACACACAATGAAAACGGAAAGACACTCTGCATCTATAGAAGCATTGGCTGGAAACAACTCCAGTTTTCCAGCTCAGTTATTCGAAAAGATCAACAGGCTGCTGTTTTCTTATAAACAAGATGTTAATATAGTAACATCTTATTAACATGATCAACAACACACTTCCATTTTGCCGCTTTCCACTACACAGTATATGCATCCTTCGATCCCCCTCCTTGAACTCTTTATCCCTCAGCACCTTCCTTAGAGAAGTCTGATCTTTTCCAGAGAACATCCCTGTGAAGTAGCAGCCATTAAAGATGTTTTAACAAACATACAGTTTACAAACACAGTGGCGTGGATTTAACTGGTTCAACAGTCTACCTTTCACAGCCAGACACAGGTCATTGCCAGTACACCGGCAGAAGATGCTTTTAAAAGGCGCACACCTGAAAGCAAACCCTTCGCTAAGCACACATGCACTTTTCCGCAACACACTGAAGAGGAGATGGAGAAGGATACATTGCGGCCCTTTCCTACTACAGCTCCATAAAAATCCAGGCTCAAGGAGACTTGCGGATTCCAAAACAGTATATTCCAATTAAAACTTTTAATTCCATCACATTAGTATGCATAGAACTGTTTAAATGCACACCTGTAAGGACCTTTGAGAGACTAGACTGTCCTCAACAGATATCTGCCCAGCCATTTACTTCTCCGGCAAAAGAGATTTCGCAATCTTTGTGGACAGTCAGCTTCATTGTTTTGTCTACCTAAAAGCCAAACGTTTTGCTTTAACATCCAACCCAAATATAACCTTATGAAAACAAGCATGACTTCTCTTGCTCTGCAGAGAACTCGAAGACTAGCTAATCACTAGTTTTTACCCAGCAACCCTTTTATAGATGTGAGGGCACCCACCAAATTTGCTTAGTTTCTTCTTTTCTAGTGTGCCTATGCCTTTCAAGTTTCCTTCAGAAACCGAGTTTCATAAACTTAATATTCTTGCAGAGCCTAGAGATCTACGTACTACAGTTAAAAAAAAACCCAGCCATACCATTTTAGCTAAGGCTTTTATTCAACGCTGCAGACTAATCACTTTCCCTGTGTTTACATTTAATCACACCTGTTAACATGCCAAAATAACATTTGTCTAGTTGAAGGGACATCACACTATCAATTAATATTTAATTTACTATGCACTACAACGCTCAAATGCTTTTTTGAGATACTGTTTGCTGTTCAGTAATACTCTTTCCACTAATTATGCCTTTGATTCTTTCTCCCTGTGTTCTCTTCCTCTCTCAGTTGTTAATTGAGCTTAATTACACTAATTAATTAATCTGCTATCTATCTACAGTGCTTGCAGTCTTTTCAACTTGGCAACGTATTTTGTGTTCATCATTACAGAAAACAATGAAAATCCATTCACACAGAACTCGCCAGGAGGACACTTTGTAACATCCCCCTTTAAAAGTGAATTATTTATGAGTCGCTTCAAAAGCACTTTTTCAAACACCTGTACAAGATCTCACAAAAATTATTCTTAGACCACATTTCTGAAGCTTGTTTTTAATATCAACCCAGACAATGGCAGAAACACAGTAAAATCCAAGACAAACCCCTTATATTCCTTATTAACTGCATTGGCTACTGTAAAAAAAGGAGTTTGATGCAGACTTTTTAACAAACCAAACTAGTCCACGTCCTGTTTGCATATCGTTTTCAATTGTCTTCCACTTACTGACAAATTCTCCTGCCAAAACACCTCCTCAGAATATTTCAGGGGATCAAAGTTCAGATAGCTTTGCTCTTTTTTTAAGAATTATTATTCTGACTGCATTCCCATATCATTTTATTCAGTTTTAGC